CCCTACTGGGGATCGACCCTGCAACCTGGGCATGTGCCCTGACCGGGAATCAACCATGACCTCCTGGTTCATAGGTTGACACTCAACCACCAAGCCACACCGGCTGGGCAATGTCTTATTTATTTAACTTGTCAAATTGCTTAGATTTTCCATTACTCTGTTTGATAGAAGTAAAGAAATCAGGCATCTTTATTTTGTTTATGATTTACAGGGTGGAAATTACAGGCTTTCACATTGACTATGATGTCAACTGTGGGTTTTCATATAGTTCTTTTATCATGTTGAGGACGTTTTCTTCTATTTACTATTTTTTATATATTTTATAACAGTCTCAAATTTTATCAAATGCTTATTATGAAAAAAGTGAGATGACCATGTCTTTTCCTATTGTCATTCTGTTAATATGATACATTACATTGATTTATTTTGTATGTGAACCATCATTGCATTTTGGGGAGAAATAATCCCACTTGGGGTTGGTCTGCAATCTTTTTTACATACTGCTGAATTTGGTTTGATAGTATTTTGTTGATTAATTTCACATTAATATTCATAAGGTGTATTAGTCAGTAAATTTTTTGTCCTTCTGATGTTTATTTGGCTTTGTTATCAGAGTAATGCTGGCCTCATAGAATTAGGAAGTCTTCCCTTCTCTTCTGTTCTTTAATTTTTTGGTAGAATTTACATGTGAAGCTATTGGGCCCTGAGCTTTTCTTTGTTTGAAGGTTTTTGATTAATGGCTCAATCCCTTGTTATAGGTTTGTTCACATTTGCTATTTCTTCTTAAGCCAGTTTTGGTACTTTTTGTGTTTTAAGAAATATGTGTGTTCATCTATGTTATTTAATATATTGGTGTACAATTTTATTCATAGTTTTTAATAAACTTTTATTTCTTTAAAGTTTATAGTAATGTTCCTACAGTCATTTTTCATTGTAGTAATTTGAGTCTTCTTTGTTTTTTTCATGATCAGTATAGTTAAAGGTTTGTCAATTTTTTTCATCTTTTGAAAAACCAACTATTGGTTTTGTTGTCTCTGTCTACTGTTTTTCTAAAATCTACTTTATTTATTTCTACCCTAATGTTTATTTTATTCTGATAAATTCAGTATTAGCCTGCTCTTCTTTTTCTAGTTTTTAAAGGTGTAATTTAGGTTATTCACATGGGACATTTCTTGTTTTTCAATCCGGGAACCACAGCTGTAAACTTTCTCTCAGCACTGGTTTTCCTACATTCCAGAAATTTTTTTTATGTTGTAATTTCATTTTCTTTCAACTTAAAGTATTTCAAATTACCATGTTGATTTATCTTTTAATCCATTGGTTGCTTAAGCATGTTTTCTTCTGTTAAAAGATATCTGGTTTCATTCCATTGGGATAAGAAAAGGTACTTTGTATGAAACAATCTTTTAAAATTTTATGAAGACCACTTTGTGGTACAACATAATATCTATCTTGGAGAATTGGTAGTTTAATTAACTTATCTTCCAGTTTATTGATTCTTTCTGATGCCTGCTCAAATCAGAAAGAACCTCTTTAGTGAAATTTTTATTTTGGTTATTGTAGTTTTCAGCTTTATAATTTCTATTTGCTACTTTTTATACTTTTCATCTCTTTATTGATATTTTGTTTTAACATAATTTTTTTAAATATATTTTATTGATTTTTTACAGAGAGGAAGGGAGAGGGACAGAGAGCCAGAAACATCGATGAGAGAGAAACATCAATCAGCTGCCTCCTGCACGCCCCCTACTGGGGATGTGCCCGCAACCAAGGTACATGCCCTTGACCGGAATCGAACCTGGGACCCTTGAGTCCGCAGGCTGATGCTCTATCCACTCAGCCAAACCGGTTAGGGCTAACATAATTTTTCTTATTTTTAAAACATATATATTTTTATTGATTTCAGAGAGGCAGGGAGAGGGAGAGAGAGATAGAAACATCAATGAGAGAGAATCGTTGACCAGCTGCCTCCTGCAAGCCCCCTACTAGGGATCAAGCCCACAACCTGGGCATGTGCCCTGACCAGGAATAGAACCATGACCTCCTGGTTCATAGATCAATGCTCAACTACTGAGCCACACCGGCTGGACTCATTTTTCTGGTTTGTTTAGTTCTTCGTCCATGTCTTTCCATGGCTCTGAGCATATTTAAGATAGTTATTTAAAACATTGTTTTCAACTAAATTCAATGGCTGAACTTCCTCAGGGAAGTTTTCTGTCTTATGCCTTTGAATGAACCAACTTTTTCACTTTTTTTGTATGTCTTTTGATGTTTTGTGTATATTGGATATTTGATTATTATAATTTGGTAACTATAGAAATCGGATTCTCCCCATTTCCATAATTTGCTATTTATTGATTGACTGATGAGTGCATCAGTAGTGTCCTTTGAAAACTTTTCAAAATATTTTGCAAGAATTATTTCTTGCTGAGTATGCTAATATTTTCATAGAGATTTTCAGATTTTCCCAGAGCTGAAACACATAACCAAACCAAAAATACTAAAAGCAAAAGAGAAAACAACCACTTCTCCAATTTTTTTCAGACTAGCTCTGTGCTGGGGCAGTTCTTCACTATCTAAACTTGTTGTGAGCACAGGGATTAGCATGAGGCATTCTCAGGACTTTTCTTAGTGTTCTTTTTGCCTAAACATGCCATAAATTTTGTCTTCTCTGCCATTTGTGGCCACTGAAGTCTGTGTTTTATTAGCTTATTTGTCAATATTTTGACAGTTTCCTTAAATATTTGGAACAAAAAAAGGAAAGATAAATAAAAGAAAAATGAAAATATGCTCTTTCAGACTTTACTGATTATATGTGAGTTTTGGGGCAGTCCTTTTTAAAAAATATATATATTTTATTGATTTTTTACAGAGAGGAAGGGAGAGGGATAGAGAGATAGAAACATCGATGAGAGAGAAACATCGATCAGCCGCCTCCTGCACACTCCCTACTGGGGATGTGTACGCAGTCAAGGTACATGCCCTTGACTGGAATCGAACCTGGGACCCTTGAGTCCACAGCTGACGCTCCATCCACTGAGCCAAACTGGTTGGGGCAGGGCCGTCCTTTAACACTTATTCTGTTCATTTACAATTATGAATTAGCCTTCACATCCTTCATGACTAGAACCTGAAGTTAGCCAGAGGTGAAAGATTACAATTTCTCAGGTCTTTTCTGAACACGCATGTACCCGTGGGCATGTGCATGGCTTTGTGATCCCTCAGTATTCAGAGTTATATAGAAGCTTTTGTAAAATAAATTAATGTTGAAGGAGGGCCCATGGACCTCTAGTAATATTTCAGCTGTATTTCCTGGATTCTGTGACACCTATTTTGGTGGTTTCAAATTTGATGGAGTGGGAGCTGGGGATGCCAGAGAGTTCATTCTGGTTTACAATCACTTCCTAAAATTGCCCAAAATGTGATTCTTAGAAAAGATGTTGGAGAGTATTTACCGTGCAAATGTTTACTTTGTGGTGACTCTTGAAACTGTTGTTCAGGAAAACACTCCCTGGCTCCCATCTGACCAGGCAACACCTGAAGGAGGTGACACTTCCCATGCTGAGGGCCTTCACTGTAATATGAGAAGTAGCTGATTTTTTCAAAGCCCAGTTTTAAGAACTGCAGCAACAAAAAGCTTTGGCAAGTAACTAGCTGAAGAAAGCCACTGCCCTGCATTTTACTTTTATTTACCAACTAAGAAGTCTAGATCCCCAATTTCAAGGCGTCATTAGAGTTAATGTCATAATGTATGAAAGTCTTGATTTCATTAATAAGACCTGCACAATAAAAAGTGACAACATTCTTCTAAATTCCTATGTGCTAAATAAAACCTGAGCTTCACCCACACACACCCTCTCTGACCACTTCTTTCCCATCTTTCAGCTTGGATGGGGGAGATCTCTGCAAAAACAAAAACAAAAAAACAACAACAAAAAAAACCCTTAATTCCTTCCCAGCAGGTGTGGCTCAGTGGTTGAGTGTTGACCTATGAACCAGAAGGTCATGGTTTGATTCCCCGTCATGGTTGTGGGCTCGATCCCCAGTGGGGAGCGCACAGAAGGCAGCCAATCATTGTTGCTCTCTCATCATTGATGTTTCTATCTCTCCCTCTCCCTTCTCTCTGAAATCAATAAAAATATATTTTAATAAATAAATGAATAAAAGCCTGTAATTCCCCACATATGTGCTTTCCTGACTTCTTCCTTTCCAGATCTTTGATTGTTCTATTGCTTCTCCTGACTGATATATCTAGGTTCACTCTGTATGGCCAATGCTTTTGCCTTTAAATATTTTCAAAAAATGTCGCTTTGCAAGATGCCTCAACCCTTTGAGATAAAAAGGCAGGCTCTTGCACCATTCTTTCCGACAGAAAGGCCAAAACAGCAACCACAATTCTTTGAAAATAATGTTTGTATTTCTTCTTTTGGCACTAGCCACTTGCACCAGGAGTGCAGGCTGCTAACTCCATAGGCACCACCAATCTGAGGTTGAGGCAATTTAAAATACCACAGTGCTGGCTTATGACAATGCAGCCACTTCTGTCATTATTCAGCTTTCTCCTGGTGGTTGTAACATTTTGGCTCTATCCCAGAATTCTGGAAAAGTTGATTATGATATTCCCCCCCGCCCCCCAGTTTATGAATTGGTCTTTTGCTACTCTTGCTACTCTTCTATTTTGGGTAACATCACCTCCCTGAAATTCACTGCCTTTTATAGCAGATTTAATTATTGTGAAATTCTTCCTCAGGTTAAGCTTAAGTAGGTTTCATGGATTCCCAGAGTGTATCCCTCATTCTGCCATTTAGGTAATATAATAGAAAATAAATTTTATTTCTTTTCCTTTGTCTGGCAGCCCTTCTGATATATAAAATTTGGAATTCAGTCCATGCAAAAATATCTACTTTGTAGGCGTGGCAGATCAAAGTCCCTTTCACTGTTCCTCCTAATGCTGTGGTTTCAAATATATTTCTATCCTGTTCTCTTGTGGTTTTTCTTAGGTGTGACATCTGAAAGAAAGAAAGAAAGAAAGAAAGAAAGAAAGAAAGAAAGAAAGAAAGAAAGAAAGAAAGAAAGAAAGAAAGAAAAAAAAAAAAAAAAAAAAAAAACAGAATATACCAGCTGTGGTTGACAAGCAGAAGGGAACTTCCCCAATTTTTATGGAGAAACTTCAGATCATATTCACTTTTTTGGCAGCAACATTACAATGTTGGTTTACATTAAACTGAATCCGTTAAAACCCTATGTGTGCTTCACACACGTTGTTCTTAAATTTGTTCCCACTCCTATTGTCTATGTGCCCAAATGTCACTTAACTGGTTTGGTCTGAATTTCCTTATATGAAAACTGGGGATAATAATACTCCACGTTTCAACACTTGCAATATTAAAATACTTTGAGCATGTGCAAAGTTATTATTCTCTTCTTTTTTTACTCCTACCTAATCTTAGTGCTTTAAAAAATACCAATGACTAGGTATAACCAACAGGTATTCTTATGTAATTGGTATGGGGTATGGCCTATGCATTATGTTTTTTAAATTACTTCAAGTGACTCTAATGTACAACCAAAGTTGAGATCCAGTGCCCCTGAGAAAGAGAGAAAACACCAAAGGAAGTAGCTAACATTTACTCTACTCCAATGAATTAACCTTCTAGCCACACTATGAAAGTAGGTGTCATTCATTATTCTCAGCCACATTTTATATTTTAGAAAGCCATAGCACAAAAGGCTAAGAAATGCGTCTCTGTCAGTCACGCAGCAGGTAAGTCTCAGAGCCCAGGTTCAAATCCAGGGAGCCTGATTCTCGATCCCAAGAACTTAACCACTCTTCGAGGGTTTCTCCACCTGGGCTCCAGTTTGGATTTCTGTCATTAATGTTCTAGTTTATGTCATTCTCAGTTAACTTTGGGGCCTAATAGCTATTTCACATTCATCAGATGAGGCTTGGTAGAGTCTCCGAAATGCCTGTAATCGTTGAGTCAACAGCCAGCCAGTTAAGCAGGGAAAACAGTCTTAGGAGGTCAATGAACAGCAGTAAAGGGAACTAACGGGATTGGGCAAGAGAGAAAACATTAAAAAAGTACTATGATTGCAGAAGAAAGGGCAATAGGAAACAAAAGTAGAGTAAGACCCAGGGAAAGCAGTCAAGGTTCCCAAAACTGTATCAAGTTAAGAATCACAGTACCAGCAAGTCTTTAATATACGTCTGTCCAAGATTTGCACAAAAGATTGAAAGTGGACTAATCCCTGTGGGTTTGGAGGACTGTGTAAGTGTAAACTAGAGGCTAGAACTCCAGGAAGTTGAAATGAGGCTTAGCATTCCAGCTCTTAGGGAGTAAAGGGCAAGGGAGACATGAACATGAATTGCAGAGAAAGGAAGTATTTTATTGTATTTCTTTTTTATGGTAAAATGCACAAAACATGAAATTTATCATTGTAACCATCTTAAAGGGTACAGTTCAGTGATATTATGTACAGCTACAGTCTTGTGCAACTGACATTACTATCTAGTTGCAGACTTTTTTCATAACCCCAAATGCAAACACCATAATCACTAAGCAGTCAGTCCCCGTTCACCTCTGCCCCTAGCCCCTGGAAACCAGAAATCTGCTTTCTGTCTCTAAGGAATTGCTTACTCTGGATTTTTTTTCTAAATGGAATCTTAATAATTTGACCTTTGTGTCTGTTTTCTTTCACAGCCATCCATGTTGTGTAGCATGTCTCACTACTTCATTTCTTTAGCTGAATAATATTCCAATTTCTAGATATACTATATTTTGTTTATTTACTCATCCATTGGTGGACGTTGGGTTGCTTCCACCTTTGGGCTGTTGTGAATAATGCTACTTTGTATACTCATGTAAAAGTATTTATTTGAACACTTGTTTCTAATTTTTTTGGTGTATACCTAGGAGTGGGATTGCTGGATTATGTGATAATTCTATGTTTAACTTTTTAAGGAACCACCACAATGTTTTTCCTTTTACATTTCCACCAATTTCTCCGTATCTTGCTAACGCTTGTTATTTTTTAGAGCTATAATCATTCAGCTGGACATGAAATGGTATATCGTTGTGATTTTGATTTAAATTTCTCTAAAGACAAATGATTTATCATTTTTTCATGTGGTTGTTGGCCATTTGTATATCTTCCTTGGAAGAGTGTCTACTCATGTTCTTTGTCCATTTTTGTTGGGCTTTTTTGTAGTTGTTGAGTTGTAATAATTTTTAAATATATTCAAGTACTAAACCTTTTGACACATATAATTTGAAGATGTTTACTCCAGTTTTGTGGGTTGTCTTTTCATTCTCTTGATAGTGTCTTTTGATTAACAACATATTTTAATTTTGATGAAGTCCAATTTATCTTCTTTTGTTACTTTTTATTTATTTTATTTTTTAATGTATCACAGGATATTTATTTATTTACTTTTAAATTATTTTCACCCTAACCGGTTTGTTCAGTGGATAGAGCATCACCCTGCCGACCAAAGGGTCCTGGGCTCCATTCTGATCAAGGGCACGTACCTTGGTTGCAGGCTCCTCCTCGGCCTGTGCCCTGGTTGCGGCATGTGCAAGAGGCAACCAATTGATGTGTTTCTCTCACGTTGATGTTTCTCTCTGTCCCTCTCTCTTGCACTCTCCCTAAAATTCAATGGAAAAATATCCTCAGGTGAGGATTAATAACAACAGCAAAAATAGAGCACATTCCATTTGCTAAGACCTGTAACTTGTCCAGGATCCAGATATGCCCAGAGAATTCCCCGCCAAGAAAAGTCCACCTAGAAGCCTTTAAAATTTTTGACTCCCCAACCCTAGGTGCTGGTGCCATGTTGGGGCTCAGCCCATCTGGTTTTACAGATGACCTAATAAATTTAGAATTCTTTACTACTTTTGTCCTCCTGCGTTCTTCCTTTGGCGACCCTAACATTTGGTGCTGAAACCTGGGAGGGTTCCAAGGGGAAGGGGAGCCATTGCCTTGTGTTCCGTCACCCAGAGTTTGCTACTCGGAGAGCAGTAGGCAGCGGTAGCTTGTCCTGGCCTTACCTCTGAATCCTACTCAGGAGACATGATCACCAGCCTCAATTAAGCTAAAGAGAACACTGGATTGGGAAGCTCTTCTTCTCCATTGCTGACCCTCCATCCCACTCCAGCCAATCTTCTCTAGGTGAGTGATGTTCTACAACTTCCCTCTTCTAGAGTCTTCTGTTCACTTGCACTGATTTCTCGAAAGTCCTCTCTTCTCGAAAGTCCTAGTGCTAGGCCAGAAGACTCCTCGGCCATTTGGCCTCGGGTCCTTCTGGAACAGGAACGCCCAATTTCTCATGGTGATTTGTTCAGTGGTGGGGACGCCTATCCTAAACAGTCACCTTTGGACTTATGGTCTGTCACTCACGCCTTCTCTCTCATGGGCTCCTTAAAAATATTGACTGCCTTAGACTCACAGGGGAGATCATGCCCAACCACCTCATTTTATTTCGTAACACTGGCCACAATATAAACTAGATAATGAGTCTCAATGGCCTGAAAACAGCACTTTCAATTTTAACACATTGGGTGATTTAGATAATTGCTGTCACCGCAATGGAAAATGGTCAGAGATTCCCTACATCTAGGCCTTTTTTCACCCTTTGGTCTCCACCCTCTGTTAGTATTGCTTTACCTATTAGATCCTTCTCCTTCACATAAAACATCATACCCCTAACACTTCTGATTCTGAAGCTACTTTTGACCCAGCAGACCACCGACCTCCACCCTCTTATGTGCCCCCTCCCTCACTGCAGTAGATTCTCAAAACCCAGACCCTCCTAACCAGCAACCACCTTCTCCCCCAGCCTCAAATCCCAAGAACTTGAGCTCTAATACAACCTTTTCCCCATCTAACACTCACTCTCAGGTCACAAAAGACACCTTCCTCAACAGTGTTTCTATTCCCGTGCCCATTCTATCCCTGAGGGAGGTAGCAGGAACTGAGGGCATAGTCCTAGTCCACATCCCATTCTCTATGCCCGATATTTCTCAGATTTAGAAAAGATTAGGTTCTTTTTCTACTGACCCAACAACCTTTACTAAGTAACTTGAGTACCTGACCCAGTTCTATGACCTGACCTGGCACAAAATCTATGTCCTGCTGTCCTCTCTAACCCTAGAGGAGAAGGAGTGCATGGCTAGCAGCTCAGGACCATGCCGATGCCCTCCATAGACAGGATGCAGCAGCCAACCCAGTTGGCACTAACATGGTCCCCCGAACTGACTCAAGATGGGACTATCAGGTTAATTCTTCAGGGCACTGCCGCTGTAGCCATATGATTACCTATCTTATTGCTGGACTCAAAAAGGCTGCCCATAAGGCTTTCAACTATGACAAACTTAACAAAATCACTCAGGGTCCTGATGAAAACCCAGCTCTCTTTCTCTCCCGCCTCACGGAGGCCTTACAGAAATTTACCACCTTAGACCCCACATCCCCGGAGGGAATCTTCTTCTGAACACCCATTTTATACCCCAATCAACCCCCAACATAGGTCACAAACTTAAAAAATAGACACAGGTCCACAAATGCCTCAAAAATACCTTGTAAACCTAGCCTTTAAGGTCTTTAATAATAGAGATGAGGAGACCCAAATCCAAAAACAAAGGCGAGATCAGGCCAAGGTTGAGGCCCAGAGGGAGGCCTTTCAGCTTCTAGCCACTGCTCTCACGAACTCTAAACAAAGTGTCGGTCCTCCAACCAAGGGTAAATCAGGGACTAAGCTTCCTCCAGGCCCATACTTCAAATGCAACAAGAGAGGACACTGGACCAATTCCTGCCCAAATCCGAGACCCCCACCTGGGCCCAGCCCAAGGTATAGAAGGGAAGGCCATTGGAAAGCAGACTATAGTCTGACCACTCCAGGTCAGACCTCAGCCAGTCTATCAAGACCGCCCTCTGGATCCAGTTTGGAGCTCCCAGACCTCCTAGGACTGGCCACTGAAGACTGAAGCTGCCCAGGTCCTGACAGGGCCCCATAGACTTACATCACCAGAACAAAGCCTCAGGTAACGATCGTGGTGGCAGGTAAGCCTATCTCCTTTTTAATTGACACTGGGGCCACTTATTCTGCCCTCCCCGAATTTTCTGGGACCCTCGTCCCCTTCTCAGCCTCTATTATGGGGGTTGATGGACTATTCTCACAGCCATTAGCCACCTCACCTCTACACCGTATCTTTCTAAATGGCCCCCTTTATCCACTTTTTTTCTCGTTCTACCTAGGTGCCCAACCCGGCCTATGCATCTCCTTATAAAGCCCAGTTGTCCCAAACCACAGTCATCTACCTTGGCTTCACTCTCAGCCCACAAAGTCGAGCCATTACCTTAGACCAGTGGTCGGCAAACTCATTAGTCAACAGAGCCAAATATCAACAGTAC